AAAAGCAACTTCAGGAGGGAAAGGATTTATTTTGTCTCAGAAATACAGATAACAGTTCATCATTGAGGGAAGCTAGGGCGGGAACTTAAGTAGGTCAGAGCCCTGGAGGCAAGAACTGATGGAGAGTGTTGTTTATTAGGTTGCTCCTCGTGGCTTGTTCACTCTGCTTTCTTTGGGGGTGGGTGATTAGGGTGATTGTTTGTTTGTTTGAGGCATGGTTTCTCTGTGAAGCCCTGGCTGTCCTAGAAATAGTTTTGTAGACCAGGATGGTCTTGAACTCAGAGATCCACCAGCCTCTGCCTCCTGAGTGCTATGATTAAAGGTGTGCGCCACTCACCTGGCTCACCACCATGAGCTAGGCCATTCCACATCATTCAAGAAAATGCACCATAGGCTTGTCTGTCTACCAACCAGTCTCAATTGAGGTTCCCTCTTTTTTTGTTCCCTCTTATAAAATGACTATAGTTTGTGTCTAGTCAACATCTTTGTTTTCTGGATATCTATGGAAAATTATTGTGTATATGAAGAGAAAATCAAAAAGTCTCAATCTGTTGATAGATTTGATGAGGCGTCAAGAAGAGCTTCGGAGAATGGAGGAGCTGCATAACCAAGAGGTTCAGAAACGAAAGCAGCTGGAGCTCAGGTAACCCCCCCCCCTTTTTTTTTTCTTTTTAACACTATTCATTTGTTTGGGGCCTAGTAGCATGCCACAATGTATAGAGGGCATAGGACAACTTTCAGAATCAATTCCCTCCTTCTATACCATGTGTGGTCCTAGGAATGGGATTGAGCTGGCCATCAACCTTGGTGGTAAGCACCTTTAACCACTGAGCCATCTCACCAGCCTTGTAACTCATTTTCTTTAACCTTTTTTTCTGACAATTCCAAAGAGTATTGATTTGTTTTTAACTTGTCATCATCACTCTTCCTGATACAATTGTAAATACTGGCAAATATTTCTGCTGCTTCTCAGATTCTCCCTTTGGGTAGATGTTTTAGTTGCATTTGGTTCTAGGAATTGCCTTAGGGCTTTGCTAAAGGGAAAGAGCTGAGTGCTGCTCTCTGGTGTCTTTGGGTGCTGTCCTAGTACTTGCCAAGCTGTGCTGATTTTCAGTTGGCTTGTCTTTGCCTTAATCTTCTTCCTGTTCAAGTGGTCTGTGCATGTTCTGGAATGCCTTTATCTTGGAATACCTTGGTGATTCTATAGGCAGGAAGAGGAGCGCAGGCGCCGTGAGGAAGAAATGAGACGACAACAAGAAGAAATGATGCGGCGACAGCAAGAAGGATTCAAGGGAACCTTCCCTGATGCGGTATATCTCCCATGTGCCTATGATATGCCAGGCCAGGTGTGATAAGACAAAACTACCATGACTTGTCTGTTAGGATACCAGGCTATGGCCAGTTTTTCTATGCTATAAAATTCCTTTTAAGGAAAAAGATAGATGTTGATAAGGGAGGTGATATAAGGTTTGAAGGAGAGCTCTTGCCTGATAGCAAATTTAGGATGAAAAGCTAGCACCACTGTTGTTGTTCATATCCAATGACAATAAGAAATAAATTTAAGTCCTGTAGCAGACTTTGGCTAATCCAATGTTACCCGTGTAGCCCCAAGAGGAAATTAGTTCTTTCTTCCTCCTATTGCCTCTTTTTGTTCCTAATAGAAATTCTATTTTGTTACCTGAAGTCACTGTACAAATAGTAAGAGGGCTTAGTATGTCATCACTTTGTGTTGTCGTCAGTGGATTATAATAGAGTGACTGTTGTCTTGGACTATGTTGAGTATGTATTGTTTTTCAGAGAGAACAAGAGATACGGATGGGCCAAATGGCTATGGGAGGTAAGGACTTAAAGAGTTACATAGTTCTTGTGCCTTTTTTATGTTTGAACCTGGGATTTAAACTCAGATCCTCATACTTGCAGAGCCTAATTTTGGGGCTGGAGAGATGGCTCAGAGGTTAAGAGCACTGACTGCTCCTCTAGGGATCCTGAGTTCAATTCCCAGCAACCACGTGGTGGCTAACAACCATCCCTTATGAGAGATCTGGTGCCCTCTTCTGGTGTGCAGATATACATGGAAGCAGAATGTTGTATACATAATAAATAAAAAAAATCTTTAAAAATATATGATCTCTAGTGAGTTCTGGAACTTCTGCCTAGTCCACATTTAAATGACTTGACATTTCGAGGAACATTGGGGTTTTTAGGCTGGGAGTGGAGGATTGGCATATCTTTGTTTATAGATCCTACTGAATTGTTTGGTGGGGGAAGAGACTGATAATCTCTTTCCCCTATACTGATAGTACTACTCTGCTTTAGGTGCTATGGGCATAAACAATAGAGGCGCCATGCCCCCTGCTCCTGTGCCAACTGGTACCCCAGCTCCTCCAGGACCTGCCACTATGATGCCAGATGGAACTTTGGGATTGGTAATAAACCCCAGGGCCTCATAATAATTGTAAATAGTGATGGGAAAAGCTTCTCGACCTCCGGGGTCTAATTTTTGTGGGTACGGGTGTGTGTACATGTAAGTGTGGCTAGAAGTCAACTGCTTGTTGCCATCCATGACCTGGAACTTGTCAGCTGACTGGTCTTTTACATTGGATGCTGGGGAATTAAACTCGAGTCCTCAAGCTTGCAGGACAGATACTTTACCCAACTAACCTATCTGCCCAGCATCTACTACTTGAATTTACTTTGATTTTGTTACAGGGTGCCAATTTCTAGGGTTATTGGTATAATGTAACCTAAGATGTTGGGGGTGGTGGTGAGGATGATTGAAGCCCAGGATCTGATTTATTATGTTAGGCAAGTATTGTCTCTCTATTCCATGTCCCTGATCTTTTAGTTTGTAATCTTTTGTTTTGTTTCTGGTTTTTTCGAGACAGGGTTTCTCTGTAACAGCTCTGGCTGTCCTGGAAGTAGATCTGTAGACCATGCTGGCCTCGAACTCAGAGATCTGCCTGCCTCTTTAGTTTGTAATCGTTTTTGGTTTTTGAGATGGGTTTCTCTGTGTAGCTTTTGAGCCTGTCCTGAATCTTGCTCTATAGACCAGGCTGGCCTCAAATTCACCGAGATCCACCTGCCTCTGCCTCCCAAATGCTGGGATTAAAGGTGTGTGCCACCAATACCCACCTTTAGTTTGTAATCTTGAGAAAATTGAATACCATACTCATTTTAACCTTGGAGTTAAACAATAGCTTCTGTCTGTCAAAGTGGATTGACTGTAATAGTTGTTATCCTCAGTTAACAAGTTGCTTTTTGTTTTGGGTTTTTAGATAGGCTCTCTGTAATCCTGGTTGTCCTGGAGCTTGCTATGTAGACCAGGCTGGCCTCAAACTCACAGAGATGCTTCTGCCTCTGCCTTCCAAATGCATGTACCACATTCCCTGGCCAGCAGGTTTTTCTTTAGAGGGGAAAGTTAAGGAAGCTTAGATATTATGACATATAATGAATGTGAATCCAAGGTCCTTGTGGTTCATAAAATCCAGAAGTTGTTCTGGTTCTAATGTCAAAATAAGAATAGACAGACCAAAACTGGACAGACTTAAGATTGCTAGAGAAATGATAGTCTTGTTCTTCCTGACTCAGGAAAATGAACTTGGATAGAACCAATCGAAATAAGAATTTTAATTGTGTATAAAATGTGGATTAAAAGCTAAAGAATGAAGCTGTGACTAGTACAACCTTCCTCTCAGAGTTCTCCACTAGAACTCTAAACCTATTTAGTTAGCTTGCCCTTAGCAGTCAAGAGTCTTGAATAGTTCAATAGAAATGGCCTGTAGTGGGAAGACCAAAGATGAGTGGCAATCTGAGAACAGAGACTGTATTGTAACATTGTTCTCTTTCTCTTTTAAGACCCCACCAACAACTGAACGTTTTGGCCAAGCTGCTACAATGGAAGGAATTGGAGCAATTGGTGGAACTCCTCCTGCATTCAACCGTCCAGCTCCTGGAGCTGACTTTGCTCCAAATAAACGCCGCCGATACTAAATAAAGTTGCAGTGTCTAGTTTCCCCGCAACCCTTAAAGGCCCTTTTTGGACTAGCCAGAATTCTACCCTGGAAAAGTGTTAGGGTTCTTCCCAATAGATAGGTTTTCCCTGCCTGTACTACTCTAGGGAGTATGCTTGGAGGCAGAGGGCAAGGGAGGGGTGGTATTTAACAATCAAAGTCTGTGGTATATTGCTTTATCAAGTCTATCTGGTGCATTCCTGAAGTGTGTTGATTGTTGAGGGCCTGGAGAACCATAGCAAAATGAACTCAGAGCTCCATTAATCTTGATCATTCCTCCCTCTCTCCCTCCCTCATGTTTTGAGTACTTTTTCATTTTCATCTTGGTTCCCCTCAACCCCAGAGACACTGCCATATACACCACAGAACTTTTAAACATCCTCCAATGACCTAGCCCAATTCCTCCATTCACTCCCAGGTGAGAATTCAGACAAATGTCCACAGAGGTTACAGCATACATACGGTTCTGTTATATCCCATATATAACCTTTCATGTCCTAAGGAACCTCTTAGATCTTTTCATTTTAGTATATCTTAAAAAAAAAAAAAAAGTCTTGTGTTAACTTGCCTCCATATTTTTCTTGGGTAAGGACTACTCAAGAATGAATAACCTTTTGTGTCTATAATATTGCTGTCCACAGCTTTTCTTGATAGGCCTAGTACAATCTTGGGAACAGGGTTGCTGTGTGTTGAAGGTCTGACAGTAGCTCTTAGCCTTGCCTATCTTAGGTAGTTACGCTGTGCATTTTTTTATTGGTGTACTATGTTTGATTTGTTCCTGATACCTTCAATTTGAAATTTTTCTGAAAAAATGGAGCAGTAATGCAGCATCACTTATTAAAATACATTTGAAGCCTTTTAGTTTTGTGTGCTTTTTTTTTAAGGGGAAGGGAGGGAAAGAAATTGTCTCTTGGGAGATACCTATAGTAGACTACATAATGGTGATCTTTGTCACCTTTTGAAATCTTAAACATTAGGCAAACATGGGCAGGAGAGGGTGAGAGGCAAGGAAGAGTGGCTAGTATTAATGCTGTTGACACTGCAGGTAATGGCAGGCAAGCTATTCCAAATGGCAGAAAATGGAGGGGTTGTATCCATATCACAAAGGGAAGCGGGATCTTAATTAGTATTTTGTTTCTGAGCAGCTGCAGATATGTCAGAGGGTTGGAATTGGCAACATCTAAAACTGCTGTAGTTACTGACCTCACCCAAGTTCCAAGGGCTCTTCTTCCTGATCCTTTTTTCCTGAGCCTCAGAGCTAAAATACTCTGGAGCACTTTCCTATTGGCTGGGAAGACCAATTGAAGTTCCCTTGCCCATGTTTGGAGGTGGACGCCTCCTGAACTAAAGATAGAAACAGCTGGCCCTTCTAAGCAGCTAAAAGCCTCCAGACTAAGAGGTGTTCCCCACTCTGCAGCCAGACTCCTTGAAATACCCTTTGAGTAAGCTCAACCAACGCCTCCATGTCTCTGCTCTGCCATAACAAAGGCTGTGGGCAACACTTTGACCCCAATACCAATCTCCCTGGTGAGTAAATACTGTCCTCAGGGGCTCTGAGTGTGTGTTGTTCAGCTGTGGGGCTGGTCATTGAGAACAGGGAGAAGAAAAATTGGGCATAATTTAATTAGTCTGATGGTTTACTTTCCACATCATATGAAAAGCCATTAACATGAACCTGAAGAAAATACAAGGGATGATAATTTGACACAGTTATCTTTCCTGCCTTGATCTTTCTGCTGGTGTTTACAGATTCCTGTCACTATCACTCTGGTGTCCCAATCTTCCATGATGCACTTAAGGTGAGGAATAGGTGATGTGGGCTTAGCAAGAGTATTTTCCCCCAAGGAAATATACCCAGGAAATCTAAGCTGATCAGGGTCTCTTGTTACCAGGGTTGGTCCTGCTGCCGAAAGCGAACTGTAGATTTCTCTGAGTTCTTAAACATCGAGGTAAACCTTTACTTGCTTGGATTCTGCTCCCTATGAAAGAGTTCCCCTTCTAATCCTTATCTCCTTATCTGTACTAGGGCTGTACTGTAGGACCACACTGTGCTGAGAAGCTTCCTGAGGTCCCTCAGCCTGAGGGCCCTGCCACAAGTTCACTTCAGGAGCAAAAACCTCTGAATACAATTCCAAAGTCAGCAGAGACCTTGCTCCGAGAAAGGCCTAAGTAAAGAAACCCAGGACTTCTTTCTATATCCATGCAGCTTCCTAGGAATTAATGGCTTACTGGGGTTTGGAAACTAGGGGTTAGAGATATGAGGAGGGTCATGTGTTGGTTTGCATGATGCATCTTTTGTCATACGGGAAATTTGTGTCAAGGAATGTCCTTTGCGCTAGGCGGTGGTCCCAGCACTCTGGAGGCAAAGGCAAGTGAATCTCTGTGAGTTCAAGGCTATCCATGGCTGTTACACAGAGAGACCCTGTCTAAAAAAACAACAAAAAAGAAAAATGCCCTTTGCTATAAGACAGTATAAGGATGATGGAATAGATCCCTCTATTCTAGGGACTAGATAGCTCTTCACATAGCAGAGTAGTGACTACATAACCTGTGTTTTGATTTTGTTGAGTTAGGCTCTCTGGGTGGCCCAGTCTTGAACTCGATCCTCTAGCCTTAACTTCCTGAAGGCTGACATTACAAGTGTGCACTACCATACCTACTTGAGAATGCGATATTTCATACATGTATTATTGTACCTTGTTCATGCCTCCCCCACACCAATACACCCTCTATTGACCTGTTTGGTTTTGGAAGAACTTAATCTTACAGCTACAGTTTTTGTTGGCTCATTCCTGTAATCCCAATACTTAGAATACTGAGTCAGTAAGATTGCTGTGGATATTGGGCTGGCCTAGGCTACAGAAAATAAAGCAAAAATAAATCTTACATTGCTGGACATGTTGATCTGTACCTGTAGATCTCAACACTTAGGAGGCAGAGGCAGCAGGATCACCCACCACAGGGCTGAGCCTAGTCTGTTCTATACAGCGAGTTCCCGGTCAGTCATGGTTACCAAGTGATGCCCTGTCTCAAAACATTTCAAAAAGAGCCAGTCATACAGCTTACCAGGAAAAGGTGATTCCTACATAATACCAACTAGCTGAATTTGATCCCTGAAACCTACATAAAGATGCAAACAAGGAAGTGACTCTACAAAGTTGTCCTCTGACCTCCATACTTGCCCCTACATTAAACTAGTAATAATAGTAAATAAAAATTCAAAACAAAAGCTCAATGTTTTATTTGAATTTTTTTGAAACAGGACAACCCTGACTGGCCAGGAATTACATTTTTCTATGTATATGTGTGTGTGGTTATAGGTGGTTGTTAGCCACCTGGTATAGGTGCTGAGAACTGAACCTGGGTCTTCAAGAGCAATATGGTCCCCCCAGGCTGCGCATTCTCTCCAGTCCCTTAAAAAGCTACATTTTGCCAGGTGGAGCACCCCTTTAATTCCAGCACTTGGGAGGCAGAGGCAGGCAGATCTCTATGAGTTCGAGGCCAGCATGGTCTACAGAGTGAGTTCCAGGACAGCCAGAGCTACACAAAGAAACCCTGTCTCAAAAAAAAAAAAAACCAACCTAAAAGCTACCTTACATCACAGGAAGTAGTATTAACAAAGCAGGAGACTGCAGAGAATAATACAAGCAAGAAAGCATTAGGTCCACAGTCAAATAGAGGAAGTGATATAGTTGTGCAGAGAAAGGTGGGAAGATTAGAAACAACCCACCATAAAGGAAGCCCTGGGCCTTCTCCAGGGCTCTCCAATTTGAATGTCCATAGAGATAAAAAAAAAAAACTGCCAGTAGGGTTGTCACCTGACTTCCCTGACCCTGACTCACTTATACCAAACTTCCTTGATTCTATGACTGTAAGTAGGGGTGCTAGAGCTGATAACCCTGATGAATGGATCAGCTCTAAATGCCTGCTTATCACCTCTAGGTCAGAGATGCCTCCAAAACTGCTGCCACTTATTATATCTCAAGCCCTGGGAGTGGCATTGGAACAGAAGGAACTAGACCAGGAACCTGGGGCAGGTAGGTGGATCTTTAATAGGACTGCTCTCAAAGACTGGAATTTCGTGTAAGTGGCAGAAGGGTGGGGGGAATAGAAAGGTTCCTGACTGTTTCCTTTGCCCAGGACTTGACAGTAGTCTGATCTGGACTGGTTCCAGCTGCCAGAACCCAGGATGTGATGCTGTGAGTGAGAGTTTTGGGGGCTCAAGCATGTGGCTGAGAGATACCTGAGGGATGCCTGGGTATAGGCATAAATTTGAATGACCTGATTCTCCTTTGGCCTTCTTAGGTTTACCAAGGTCCTGAGAGTGATGCTGCTCCATGTACCTACCACCCCGGGGCACCTCGGTTCCATGAGGGGTAAGAGAAGGTACTGGGCAGGCTTCTCCCAATATGAATGAGAATAAGGGCTTGGGAGTAGAATTCAAATGAATTATCTTCCTCCCTCAGGATGAAGTCTTGGAGCTGTTGTGGTATCCAGACTCTGGATTTTGGAGCATTCCTGACACAGCCAGGATGCAGAGTTGGTAGACACGACTGGGCAAAGCATGTAAGCCCCCCTTTCTTAAACAGTTGGTTAGGCCCCAATTACAGAGATACACTCTCCTAGTACCTCCTGGCTGATGAAATCAAGTAAGATTCTGTTCTTTAGCTTTCTACAGCTCAGAGTCTTGGCCATTGAAATAGTTCATCTTTCTGAAGCTTCTTATGTCTTTATATCCCGTGAGACTCCTCCTGGGTTAAGAGTTGATTTTTACCATCCTCCTTTCACGTTTCTATAGCTGCCAGCATCTTGCCGCCATGATTGGCACCAAACAGATTCCTTGGTAGTGCTGACTGTATATGGCCAGATTCCACTTCCTGCATTCAACTGGGTGAAAGCCAGTCAAACTGAGGTGAGGAATGATTTGAGGCAGGGGAGGGGCTGAGTGAACCCTGGTGGGAGTGCAGTCTTACAGGGAGAAATGCTGTATGCTGTCACTCATTTTTTTTTCCAAGACAGAGTTTCTCTGTGTAGCCTTGGCTGTCCTGGAACTCACTCTGTAGACCAGGCTGGCCTCAAACTCACAGAGATCCTCCTGCCTCTGTCTCTTGAGTGCTGGGACTAAAGACGTGTGGCACTCTTTAGGTTCCACTCTTTAGGTTCTGAGAGGAATAGAAAGTTATTACATCAGGGTTGGCTGCCTGTGGATCTTACCTCTGACCTGGTTCTGTAGTAATCCCTTTTTCTGACCTTCCGGAATTGATGCTACCCTTCTAATTCTTTCCTCTCAGCTCCAAGTCCATGTTGTCTTTGATGGTAACCGTGTGTTCCAAGCACAAATGAAGCTCTGGGGGGTAAGTGAAGAGAAATGGGCAGAGGCAAGGTTGGTAGATAGATAAGAGGAGGGCCAGTCGGTAGAGGGTATGTTGAAGACTTGCTGTGGGAAAATAGAGGACTTCTCTTTAACTGCTTTGGTTTTTCCCTCCTTCCTCTCCTCTTCCCTCTTCCTTCCTTCTGCCCTTCCCCATTGCATTCCTGTCTTCCCCTTTCTTTTTCTGTTCTTATTCATCACCACTCTAAATCCAAGCCTATGATTTCTTCATTCTTTCTGTCTTTCCTGGCTTCTTAGGTCATAAACGTGGAGCAGAGCTCTGTCTCCTTGATGCCATCACGGGTTGAAATCTCCCTGGTCAAGGCTGACCCAGGATCCTGGGCCCAGCTGGAGCACCCCGATTCACTAGCTGAGAAGGCTAGGGCAGGGGTTTTGTTAGAGATGGATGAGGAAGAATCTGAGGGTTCAGATGATGACCTGAGCTGGACAGAGGAGGAGGAGGAAGAGGAAGAAGAGGAGGAAGCTATGGGGGAATAGGAACATCAGACAGTTGAGTTTCTAGGTCGGCCCTCGGTGACCTCCTTAGAACCTCAGAGACCAGGATATGGTTGACTGTGTGTTGTCATTGAGCAGCAGGAGGCTGGAGGAGGAGAGAACAAACAAAACTGTCCAAACTGTGCTGCTGCTTCCCCAAATAAACCTTGTATTCTGCAGTTTCACATAAGTGTCATCTTTCACCTCATCATGGAAGAGTGGATTCAGCCCCACCCCCACTTGGCTGTGTGTTTGGCACACATGTGAAAACAAGCACATGCACATGCACATGCATTGTTCCTCACAGCCACCAGGAACTTATGAGTACTTCCTATATGTCCAGTTACATATTAGGTGGTTTACAGATAGTTGAGAATTTAGGCTTGTTCATTTCTCTCAAAAGAAAGACCTGAGCTGGGCATGGTGGTGTATGCCCGTAATCCTACCAGTTAGGGGGTGAGGACAGATGATCAGGAGTTCGAGGCCCTCCTGACATACATACTGAATTGGAGGCCAGCCTGGGCTACATGAAACCTTGTCTTACAATCCTCCCTCTGAATAAAGTGAACAAAAAGAAAAAGAAAGACATTCAGAGCTGGGTCTAATGGCTCACACACCTTGAATCCTAGCACTGGGGAAGCTGAAGTAGAAGGATTGCTATGTTTTTGAGGCCAGCCTGGATTGCATAGTGAATTCCAGGCCATTCTGGACTAGATCGATCTAAAAAAAAAAAAAAAAAGACATTCTAGCTAGGTGTAGTGGCTTGTTCCTACAATTCTAGAGATCAGGAGACTGAAGCAGGAAGATTACATGTATAAGATCAGCCTAGACTACATAGAAAGTCCACACCAGCCTGGATGACATAATAAGATTCTTGGTGACCATAGTGCTTTTGCTATTGTTTACCCCTACTACATATCAAAGTAAATGTGTAAAGGAGAAGACAAAAAACTTAGTGGGGTGTGGCTAGATTGAAAAAAAATCCTAGAAGTATAGGTCCTTATTTTATAGTCTTGCTATGTGACCCAGGCTGGCCTCAAACTTACCATCTTGCATCAGCTTCCTCACTGCTGCAATTACAGGTGCAAGTCCCCATGCTCAGGCCCAAAACCACGTTGGGTATTTTTGTTTGTAATGATGGGGATACTCTAACCCAGGGCCTGCCACATGCTGGGCAGGCATCCTACCACTGAGCCACAAATTTTGCTAAAAGGGAACTTAAAGGCAGTATGGGGGCTTGAGTGATGATGTCTCAAGGGCTAACAGTGTGTGCTGCTTTTCCAGAGGAGCCAAATTTGATTTCTAGAGTCCACATCAAGTGCCTCACAACACCTGTAACTCCAGATCCAGGGAATCCAATTCTTGTGGCCTCTGTGGGCACTTGCACTCACATGCACATACCCACACACAAACACATACATAAAGTATTTAAAAACTGCCTGGCGTTGGTGGCACGTGCCCTTAATCCCAGCACTCGGGAGGCAGAAGTAGGAGGATCTCTGTGAGTTCGAGACCAGCCTGCTCTAAAAGAACTAGTTCCAGGATAGCCTCCAAAGCCACAGAGAAAACTGTCTCAAAAAAAAAAAAACTATACAACTGAGTGATGAAAAAAGTTTAAAAAATCAAAAATAAATAAAAGACATTATGGTTAGCTCACTGTACCCATAGATTCTGTATTCATGGATTCAACAATTGTGAGTTGAAGATATAAAGAAAAAATTGTACTGAATGATTATAGATTTTCCTTTTTATTTATTTTTATTTTAAATACATTGGTGTTTTGCCTGCATGTATGTCTATGTGAGGGTGTTGGATCCTGGAGTTACAGACAGTTGTGAGCTGCCATGTGGGTGCTGGGAATTGAACCCAGGTCCTCTGGAAGAGCAGCCAGTACTCTTAACCACTGATCCACCTCTCCAGCCCTATAGATTTTCTTAAATGATAGTGTAGCAATCATTTACAAAGCATTTACTTAGTACTGTAATCTAGAAGTGGATAGTTATAGGAGAATATGCATAGGTTATATGCAAATACTGTGCCCCCCCAACAGAGTTTCTCTGCATAGCTCTGGCTGTCCTGGAACTCACTTTGTAGACCAGGCTGGCCTCAAACTCAGAAATCTACCTGCCTCTGCCTCTGCCTCCCCAGTGCTGGGATTAAAGGCATGGGACACCACCACATGACTACAATGCCTTTTTATATAAGGGATTTGAGTATCTTCCAAGCTTGGTACAGGCACTGAGTTTCCTGGATGGACCTCCCTCCCTCCTGCTGACATTAAAGGATAAGGAATGACTGTATAGACCTTTCTTTTTATTCTTATTTATTGATTTTGTGTTTGAGGCTCTCTCACTGTTGCTCAGGATGACCTGGAACTCATTAGATATAGCTCAGATTGTCCTCAAACTTGGAAAAACCCTCCTACCTAAGTTCCTGAATGTTGGGGTGACAGCCATGGGCCATCATAGCAAGCTGAAAAATGTAGACTTGTGATTTATTTTTAGTCTCCCTCAGCAGAATGGTCAATAATCTGAGAAAATCAAAATCTAAGAAACTAAAAAGATGGCTCAGGGATAAAGACAGTTGCTATGAAAGGCTGGTGGCATCCAATCCCTGGAACCAATGATAGAGAACCAAATGGTGAAAGGTGCCTACTGATCTCCACACATGTGCTATTGTATGTGGGTGCCTGCACTCACACATGCATGGTATAACACACATACACATACAATAATAATACATTTCCAAGACATACTCATCAAGGAAGCTCTTCAAACCTCAGACAATCTCAAGTTCTTTATTTCTCCTAAGTCCACACCCCATCCTCTCTCTCTGCTCAGCATCTCTCCTCCATCTCTCTCCTCCCTCTCTTCCTCTTTCCTCTCTCTAGAGTACCATAATGTAGCCCTGACCGGCCTGGAGCCCAATATGTGGACCAGGTGAGCCTTGAACTTGTGGAGATCCTCCCGCTTCCACACCTGCATCAAGCTCTTTGTTGGTATCTTTTTGATCTGATTGGGATCCAGGAGTAAAATGAATTGAGGGAACAAGTGTGGACAGTAGTGCACATGAGGATTTGGAAGCTGGGGAAAATTAGGGGATGGCAGGGAATGTCTCCAAGGATGTGAGTTCCACCCACAGAGGAGTTTGATGAGAGGTAGAGGCTTCCTGGGTTTATAGGATACATAACAATTCTCACTGCTCCCATTCTGGATTCGAGGGGCAAATAAAGTTTCTCCTTTGAACTAAAGCCTCAAGAGTCCTGCCTTCCTTCCTTCCTTCCTTCCTTCCTTCCTTCCTCCTTCCCCTTCTTTCTTTCACTATGTAGCCCTACTTGTACTGAAACTGAAGTTGAAACTGTAGACCAGGCTGACCTAACTCAGAGGTCCAATGCCTCCTGAGTCCTGGGATTGAAAAAGTTTGTGCCACTACATTCAGCCAAGAATACTTCCTAAACTTGGAAGCAGTTTACCCTTTAAAAAAATTTAGCTGGGTGGTGGTGCGTGCCTTTAATCCCAGCACTTGGGAGGCAGAGGCAGGTGGATCTCTATGAGTTTGAGTTCAGCTTGGCCTAAAGAGTGAGTTCCAGGACAGGCTTCAAAGCTACAGAGAAACCCTGTCTCAAACAACAAAAAAAAATCATTACATTTTTTTAGATGTACATGGTACCACATGCCTTTAATCTTAGATTTAGGAGGCAGAGGCAGATGGATCTCTGAGTTGGAAGCCAACCTGGTTTACACAGCAAGTTCTGAGTCAACCAGAGCTACATAGTGAGACCCTATCTCAAAAAGCCAAAACTAAAAAAATTTATTACATTTTAATTTATTTTGTGTAGGCATGCATGGGGTGATGTGGTGTATGTACTGGTACAGAGGTCAGAGGACAACTTGTGGCAGTCGTTCTCTCCTTTTACCATGTCTATTCCAGGTATGGAACTCCATTGTCAGACTTGGGAGCTAGTGCCTTTACCCTCTGTCTTACCCTTACCAACCCACATTTACTCTTAATGTTATCTTTCAAGGGGTGAGTTGACATAGGTAGATTTGATAATATTTTTTAAAGTTAGAGGTGTCAGCCAGACATGGTGGCACATATCTGTAGTCCCAACACATGAGGCTGAGGCAGAAGGATCAATATGAGTTCAATATTAGTATAGGCTATATAGCAAGAGCCTATCTTAAAAACAAGAACAAAGTTAGAAGAAAAGCAGCCAGGTATGGACTAGATGTTGTGGTACACACCTTTAATCCTAGTGCACAGGAGGCAGAGGCAGGCAGATCTCTGAGTTCAAGGCCAGCCTGGTCTATAGAGCAAGTTCCAGGCCACAGAGGGCTATACAAAAATATCTCAAAAATCAAAACAGTGATCCCCCAAAGCCAGGTGTGGTAGTTCATACCTATTGGTAATCTTGGTACTTGGGGCATTGTGGCAAGAAGATCATGAGTTCGTGGCCAACTGAAGTACACAGCAACTCTGAGGCCACCCTGGGCTATGTAACAAGTTCAAGGCTAGCGTTGGTTTCATAAGGGAGACTTTCAAACAAAAAAAAATTGTGGTAAAATTACTAGAGAAAGATACATATATGCATTCATCTTAACTGTGTAGCATTTTTCTATCTTATCAAAATCAGGATAACAGCAACTGTCCCAAACTCCTGAAGAGAAAGGAGGTAGGGATTAAAAAAATCCAGGTAGTTCTTATATATGAAGTTTATATATAAAATACCAAATGTTTAGTGTTACTAGTTCATTTATCTAGTTCATTTTATAAAGCCAAAACTTAAAGTATAAGAAATTTCCAATTGTGTGTTCTGCGTAGTAACAACACCCCCACCCCCCCCTGGTGCCCCCCCCCCCCCGTGTGTGTGTGTGTGTGTGTGTGTGTGTGTGTGTGTGTGTGTGTGTGTGTGTGTGTAAATGCATATGTGTGGAGGCCAGAGTTCAACATAAGTATCTTCCTTAATTGTTCTTCACCTTAAAATTTTAAAGACATTCTCTCACTGCACCTATAGTTCATTATTGATTTGGCTAATCTGACTTGCCAGTGAGGTTCAGGAATCCCCTTCTCTCTCTCTGCCTTCCCAGTGCTGGAATTGCTTTTATTTTGTTTATTCTTTTGAGAGAAGGTCTAAATGTCCTGGAACTTGCAAAGTAGATCAAGCTGGCCTTGAACTCAGAGATCATCTTGCCTCAGCCTCCTAGGTGCTGGGGTTAAAGGCATGCACCACCACGCCCAGCTTGGGGTAGCTTTTATGTGGGTACTAAGGATCAAAACTCAGGTACTCATACATGGACAGCAGACACTTCACCAACCTAG